ATAACTAGATAAATATATATATATACAGATTAGAAGAGCGATCCGCACTGGCCGACGGTCGGCACCGCACTGAAAACCCTCGATAACGGCGACAGGTGACACGTTACCCTCACCACTCTCCTCCCTTAGACTCGAACTATACCGAATGTTGACGGACAGAGCCGAGATAAGAGCGGGTCACGCAGGCGCCTTGCTATTTATTTCCTTCCTTCCTTCCTTCCTTCCTTCCTTCCTTCCTCCTTCCTCCTTCCTTCACCTTCCTTCTTTCTCCTCCACCTCTTCCTTCTTTTTTTCTTCTTTCTCTTTCTTCCTTCCTTTCTTCTTCCTAGTTACATCTACGTGTATACGCACGTGCCATTGCTGCTGTTGTTGGTGTTGAACGCGAGTCAGACTGGAAAATCCTTACTTCATCCCCCTGCACATCCTATGCGACACGATATATCACGCTGTTTCCTTTCTTCTCCTCGTCGTTCTCGTTGCTATCTCGTTGCACGGGCGATCTGAACAGTAAAAAAGAAAAACAAAAAAAAATATAGTAATGACAAGGAAACCGTTAGATAATGTCGCTATATAATAATATAATCGTAATAGGTATAGACAAATTTATCTTTTTCAAGTACAAAAATATCTTATAATCTGTGCAAGTGATACCACTGATTAAAGTAATCTTTATTAATCTAATTTTGAAAATATCTGATGATCGTTTATTTTTTAAATATATAATAGTGATAATAACATTTTCAGTATTATACATTTATTTATTGACGTAATCGAGTAAATACAACATATTGGTAGTATATTTTTGTTTGTGTATTCTTTGAAAAAAAGAAACGTTGATATAGTATCTTTCTTAAATCTAACGTATTTAAAATTCATCTCTCACACAAACAATCACGCACAGAAAGAGAGAGAAAGAGAGAGAGGAAGATGCACACACACACACACATACATACACACATACTTACATACTCGTATAAAACAGTAGGTATCTTTTTATAAGCACAAGAGAAAATACGTAATCATGGAAAATTTGCATACACGTGCTCTCTTATATTTTACTCTCTCGTTATATCCATCGCCTCTAAATTACCCTCGTTCTACGATTTGACGCCATACTGTGTTTCTTTTTATGCTTCTTATTTCGTCTTCTCTCTCTCTCTTTCTCTCTCTCTCTCTCATTCACTCACTCTCTCTCTCTCTCTCTCTCTCCCCCCCTCTCTCTCTCTCTCTCTCACTCACTCACTCACTCACTCTCTTTCTCTCTCTCTCTCTAACTTCTTTTTTCTCTTTCACCAAGAGGGATCGTTCGCGTGGATTATTTCTTGACCTCGTTCCCACATCGAACACGCTCGCGTTCTCGCGCCACAGATTTTGCTAGAGAGAGCACTGTATGCGTGTATACGTGTATGTGTGGTAGCTAGCTAGATAGCTAGATAGGTAGCTAGCTTGCTAGATTGCTTGCTTGCTAGCAACCATGCTTGCTTGCTTGCTAGCTTGCTTGCTTACTTGTGCTAGGCTTTATCCGTGTCGACGGCGTTGAAAGAACGCAATAAAAGCACGGCTAACGATCATCTCGTTACTGCCGTCAACGCGGGAACTCTCACAATTACGAGGCGAACGAATACGTTCGTGAGATGTCCTCTAAGCGAACATCGAAATCGTTCATTTTCGTTTTCCTCGTCGGAACAAGAAGGAATGAAAAAAAAGGAACGCAAAAAATTGGGTGGGAAAGAAAAAAATAGAGAGGAAGAAAAAAAATTAGGTATAAAAGGAAATCGAAGAATGCTAGTTTTTTTTTCTCTTTTTCTCTTCTTTTCATGAGATGTCGCGTCGATCGTAAACCACGTATGTAGGCATCGAACGTGAATATTTGTAGGCGAATTCGGTGCAAATAGTGTGAATGGTTCGTCCTCGAAAAGTGTTTTGGCAACGAGCCTATACGCGAAGCTCGTTACTAAATCATCTAAACGCGACCGATTGGGATATAGCAGAATTATATTCCCGTTCTCTTTCACATACACATACATACATATACGTCCATATATACATATAAGTATATACATATGTTATATATGTACATATATATGCATGTATGTGTATGTTGTATATATGTATGTATATTTTATATATATGTATGTATATGTTATATATATGTATGTATATACGTATGTATATATATATAGATATATATGTATATATATATGTATATATATATATGTATATATATATGTATGTATAGATATATATATATATATATATATCTGAATATATATGTATATGTATATGTATATGTATGTATATATACGTACCGAATATCATGACATCGACGTGTTAAGCGTTTTGTTCGTTAATTCGCTGCCTTCAAATGCTGCTGGCAAGAGGTGGAGGGGTGGGTGAGCTACATCGAACCCCTAATTTCTACGCCAATGATTGGACCGCTCCCTATACCACGAGGGACACCTACTGTTTCCCATCATTCGTTCCAGTATTGATGCTTGCATATATATATATATATATATATATATATATATATATATATATATATATGTATATGTATATGTATATGTATATGTATATGTATATGTATATGTATATGTATATGTATATGTGTTGAAACGCACATACAAGCATACATGCACGCACGCTTATGTGCGTTTGCGTGTGTGTGTGTATGCATATGTATACGCGTTTAAAATTTGTCCAATTAAAATTCTGATCGTACGTAAATAATAGATAAGAATAAAAATAAAGAAAAAAAATGAAATGTAAAAATGTAATATAATTAATTAATCTAAAAAAACAAAAAATCATGAGAAACGTAAGTAAATTCTCTCTTGTTTTCTTTTTCTTCTTTTTTTTTTTTTATCGTACAATATTTTAACCTCTCAACATGAATATTATACTATAGAATTTATCTGAAATTTCCCTTTATAGAAAGTTATCGATAGCCGGTTAAAGGATGGTTATCAATGGTACGGTCTTGTAATTCGTCAGGTAAGGTCAGTCTTTCCATTGAAATAAAATTTCCGACACGTACAGTGTTATTCCAGAACAACTTCAATCTTCGAGTTTGTTTTGATTTCGTGAAATTTTTTTTCTTTTCTTCCTTCTTTTCTTTTTTCCTTTTTTCCCTCTTATTTCCCTTAAGATTTCTTTTCTCCTTCTACTCAGATAATTCTCTCTGATCTCGAATTATATCTCCCCCATTTTTATCTCGCTTTATCTTCCTTTATCTCCAATTCACGGTAAATGATTTTCCACAGACAGCTAGAATCTTTTCCAGCCGTTCTCGACTTTTCATGTGAACGGTAGTCTGAAAGACTCTCAGGAGTATTATAAACGCGTACTGCTTACTATCTTGACTTTCTAGCGGCTCGCACGAATTTAGAAGGAGGATTTTCGACGATATGACGAATTCGGAAACGACGTAAAGAGCAATCCGCTTTAAAATTTTAGATACTACTTTGTCAAAAGAAGTATCCGTGTATAGGGATGTTTCCCTTTAAGGCATATAATCCGATCATTTTCTCTCTTTCTCTCTCTCTTTCTCCATCTTTCTCCCCTTCCCTTTCTCTCCCTCTCTCTCTCTCTCTCTCTTCCTATTCTTTTTTTTTTTCTTATCCGAAAAAAAGAAGAAGAAGAAGTCGAAGAAGAAGCAGAACTCGTCGGATCGAGTTGCTGGGAAAAACGTTGACGAAAGAAAAAAGAAAGAGAGAAAGAGAAAAAAAGAAATGGAAAAAGAAAAATGTCGTTGAGCGAGGACGAATTTGAATTTTGGCGGGCGAATCTCTTTTTCACGTATTACGAAACTCTCGTGGAATCCCTTGGTAAGCTCCAACGTTGGATGGAAAACGTTAATCGCGGAAGATGAACGGTGTGGTCGGGGCTTATCTCGCAAATGAAAAAGGTTCCGCGGGATGAATCTAATAATGGTAATGTGCGTGTAAAAATTGGACCATCTCCAAATATCGAGTTGCTGCAGCCGGCGGCGGCTGCGGCGGCGGCGGCTTGGACTGCCTGTCTCCTCCACCGTACCCCGCTAACCCCTCAACCCTACCCGCCCTTTCCTACCTCCCACCTTTACTATCCCTCGTTCCATCCCGTCCCTTTCTCCTCGTTATTCCGAGGTTTCATAACCTCTTCCATCGGTGATAATTTTGCAGTGCCAGCGTGAAAACGAAATTACGGAATTTCGGTTGGCGGAATAATACCACACGCGAAAATCAAAGACAATAATATTAAAATGACTTTTTTTTCCTATCTACGCCACCCCCAACGCTCAACTTCCCAACCCCAATCCACCAACTTCCAACCTAATCCAAACACCACCACCCGCTATTTTCCTTCCTATGTATTTTCTTTCAAGATATAGAATATGTTCGAAAATTGTACGGAAATATTGGATCTATCAAACGCAACATCGTTCTGTTCCTTTTTTTTCGAAAATATGTATGTTTCTTTTTTTTCTTTTTTTTTTGTTTTTTTTTTTGTTCTTTTTTCTGCTTTTTTTTATTCTAGATTTCTTTCTTTTTTTCTCAAATCATGTTTCATTAAAAAAAAAAAATTGTCTGTTATATAGATTTTTTCGATGGATTTAATATATCATTTTGTTCAAATTTTATTTTTGTTTCGTCTATCGAAAAGAGATCGTTTAGTCCGTTTCGTTAAAAAAAAAAAAAAAAAGAGACAGAAAGTAATAATTTTTTATTTAAAACAGGTCTACAAAAGCAAGAAATATTTTCAATTGTTCAAAGAATATAAATAGGAAAGTTTTTTTTTTTTTTTTTTTTTTTTTTTTTTTTTTTTTTTTTTTTTTTTTTTTATCGAAAAATTATAAACGCACAAAAGTTTCAAGTTCTTTGTTTCAATTTTTCTTTCTCGTTTCTCTTTTTTTCTTTTTCTTTTGTTGTTAAATCCTGTCTTTCTTCTATCCCTCTTATTATAATATTCCATTTGTCGCGTCCAAGTCGACCATTATCCTTTCACATTACGAGATCGTT